TCTCCAGGGTGAGGAGGGGTGTAGGCACAGGCACGCAAGACAGCTGCGGTCCAGCCCTGGCCCCACGTGTGGTCTCAGTGATGCCCCAGAGGTCCTATCTTCCCCACATAATGAGGCTGCGCCATCCTCCTCAAAGCCAGACCTATTTCATAGGCCCCAGACCCCACCTTCACCCAGGGCCCCCAGAGAACAGAGCTGGAGACACTTCCACTCCTAGCACTGGATGCCTCCTCCCTCCTGTGAAGCTGTAGGTTGTGGGGTGGAGGACACCCCTTTAAGGCAGGCTCGGGGGGCTGTGAACTCCAAGACTCCTGGAAGCCAGTAAGAAGTGGGAAGGTAGGCACACCATTTGGGATTTTTATTTTTCACTGAGCTAGGAGAGGAGATTCCAGCTATGGAATCCAGAGAAAGTTCTACAGGAACAGAACAGAAATTGGCTGGGCCCTGGGCCCAGAGAAGGCCTAGAGCCGCTTACTGTTCAGTGCCAGCTTCATCCTTGGCACTCTGCCTCTCACACAGCATCACTCCGGCTCCCAGAGCCCACAGTGGCAGCCGCTGGAGGCTGTGGTGGTAGCTGCTGCCCTGCCCAAGAAGGGGTGTGGGCTTGGCTCTGAAAGTCTATACCAGAAAGAGCCTTAGAAATCATTCAGCCATTCCCATTTTACAGGTGATGAAACAAGGCTCAGAGAGAGCAGGGGCTTTCAAGAACAATAAAGGTGGAGACTAGAACTCAGGCCTCCTGTCTGCCCAGGGTATCTGCCCAAGCTCTCTCTGAGAGTATCTCAGTGTTGGTGTCTAGAGGGGCTGGACACGCAAGGGAGCTGGCCTGTGTGTGCATGTCTATGTGTGCTGGGATGCATCTGTGGCTTCTGTCTCTGAATGTGCCAGGGGTTTTGTGTGCTGTGTGTGTCTTTCTGTGGGTGCTCCTGTGTGCAGGAACTTGGGGCCACGGCCAGAGAGGGATGGGCATATTCCTGCAATCTTGGGAGGCCTCCACAGGCTGAGCTGGCGGGGAGGGTCCTGAAGGGTAAAGTGAAGATGGGGGCTTTGCTCCCAGCACAGAGGAAAAAACCAGAAGATAGGGTTGGGGCATGGATGGGAAAGGTCTTGGAACTAGGATGGGGCAAGGAAAACAAAGCCCCAAATGGAGTATGGGTCTCTGGAAGTTGACACACACTCAGCCCTCATGGGGGCCCAGCCCAGTGGGTAACCCCGGGGAAGTGGTCACATTACGTGACACTTCTCAGCTGATTGCTTGAGGTCCCCCAGTGTGGCCTGGGCCTTGTCCTTGAGTGAGCCCAGGTCCAAGCCAGGAAGGCTGGCCAGCTGCCCAAGGACTGAGGCCTTCTCCTCCTCCTCCTCTGTGTCCTCCTCGATCATCTTGGCCAACTCCCGGGGCAACTCCACGTCTCCACCTGCCATCTGGATCTGGCTCTCATCTGTCTCGTTCTGAAGGGAAGAGAGGGTGGGGTGGAGTGGAAGTCTGTGAGAACCCAGAGTTGAGAGGACAGGGAGGAGGTTTGGTCTAGGTTCCAGGCCCCTAGATTCTCTCTCTCTTTTTTTTTTTTTTTTGGTAGAGATGAGGTCTCCCTATGTTGCCCACACTGGTCTCAAACTCCTGGGCTCAAGTGATATGCCTACCTTGGCCTCCCAAAGTGCTGGGAATACAGGAGTGAGCCACCGTGCCCGGCCCCCTAGATTCTTGAGCCCCATGTTCCAGTGAGCTCAGCTCCCACCCCCACATCCCAGGATCAAGCATTGGATGCTTGGACATGGAGACCTTTCATATTACCTTATTTCACTCTGAGATACTGAAGGACCAGCACAGCGAGTAAAGACAAAATGAAAATACTTATGAGTCACACTGTTACAGTCATCTAAGTCATGTTTTGACTCTTGTTATGCTTAAGAGTGTAACCAAAAATAGTGATGGGTACCATTTATGAAACATCTATTACATCTATTACATGGCAGATGTTGAGCTGGGTGCCTTTACTTCTCACAATGACCCTGTGAGGTAGGTAGGTATTGTTATTCCCACTTCACAAATAAGGAAATTGAGGCTTACAGGATTTAGGTAACTTACTTTAAATTTAAGTTACTTAACTAAAGTAACTTAAATTGTCCAAGGTTACACAGGTAGGATGTTGGGGAGCTAGATTCAAACCTATGTCACTGATTCCAACATCTGTGTTTTTTGGCATGGCACCTACGATGGCCATTGCCCTTCACTGTTCTTCTGGGGGGCGCCTCATGTCCTACTCAGTTGCATCCAAGTCTTGGTTCTTCTGCTCAACTCTGACTTCCCTGATGCCAGGTGTCTCTTATATGCCTAGCACAAGTATCTGAGGGATGACTTTATTTCCAGGAGAGTTTGCAGTGAGGCAGGCTTTCTGGACCGGTTTTTCCCCGTGAGAGATTTCCAAAAGATTGGTGGCCTGTGGGCAGTCAGAAGCAGCTGGGGACTTAGTAAATATTTGTTGAATAAGTGAATGTGATGTTCATATATTTGGTCATTCAATTCAAGTGGAAGATCAAAATCAGGAGCACTAGAGCCCTGTGCTATTTTCTCGAGTCCAGCACAGTTCTGGGTGCACTAGGGCGATATTCTGGGAGAGATTTGTGCTTCAATCCCCTCCTTAGACAACAAGAGCAGCACACTTACATGCCCATCTGGCGCTGCACTGCTCAGGGGAGCATGGGGGCAGGGATCTCCTGAGACATACTCTCTGGCTGCTTGGCCAGCCAAGGGGATACTTGGCTCTCTACAGGCAGACTCCATACCCTGGAAAGCAGCCTGGGGCCCTGGAGCAAAGGCAGGCTCATATTCACCGGCTTGAGGGCTGGTCCCAGCTCCATGGCTCACTGGCTGTATGATCTTAGCCAAGTCCCTCCATCTCTCTGAGCCTCAGTTTCATCATTTGTGGCTGTGGGTGATAGCTGCCTGGCAGCATTATTGGGGGTTAGATGAGGACATGAAGGTCAAGTACTTGGCACACACAGGGCTTCTCTCCCCCACCTTAAGTAAGTTCTACCCTCCAGTAGGTTCAGAAACCCCCAGAGCACTCACTTCTGCAGTCAAATCTGCTTTCTGCCTCCCCTGTGTCTTCCTCTGCCCAGGCCTGGCCTAGGCTTGGTGGGGGTACCGGGGGGTGGAGGAGAGAAGAGGCCTAGATTGGCTTCAGAAATACAGACCTGTCAGTTTCATGAGAACTGGGGTCCCCTCAGCACAAAGCCCTGGCCCTTGGTGGGCACAGATTAACTATGAGTGAGTGAATGAATAAATGAACAAATGAATGAGAAGGAAGGATCTAACCAAGCACCCTGTGAGTCTTATAACTGCGGGCTGTGGTGCCCAGAATGGGACAAAGGAGTTGAGAACCCAGAGCTCAGGGTCCCAGATGTGCCTTGCAGCCAGGGCCAGCTTACCTTGGGTAGCCGGTATTTGTCTCGGAAGTGGCTCCGCAGTGTGGCCCGCTCTGCCTTCCTCTGTGTGAACTGTGCATCCCGCTCCATCCTGCAGGGTCACCGGGGGCAGAGTCACCATGAGGGCAGAGAGAAGGGAGTTGGAGTCTTCGAGGGAGGGACAGAAGGGGTCTCTGAGTCCTGGCAGCACTGCTGTATTGGTCCCTGTGTGTAGCAAAGGCACTCCAACCAGGACAGCCAGGTCTCTGCTGCCTCTCCCCATCACAGTGCCCTTTGTTGTCTTTGCTGCTGGGTGGAACTAGGGGCCAAGGTGGCAGTCTGTCTGGCTCTCTCTGCAGACCCTAATTATTTGTCCCTCATGGCCTCTAACTTGGTCTGTTGTTCCCTCACTGAGAAGCTATGTCGTGTAGGGAAAAGTATTCAGGACAAACTTGGGTTCACACCCCAGCTCCACTACCATTTTAGGTATATCCTTAGGTAAGTCACTTACCTTCCTCTTCTGTAAAATGGGGATAAAGTTTTGCAACTCACAAAACTGGTATCAGGATTAAGCGAAATAATAGCTATCATCTATGAGACTTTATCATGTGCCAGGTGCTGCTAAACAGTTTACATGCATTGGCATTTAATCTTCATAAATATACAAGACACGTATTATGATTACCATCCCCACTTTCCAGAAAAGGAAACAGAGGCACAGAAAGGTTAAGTAACTTGCCTAAAGTTACCCAGCTAATAGGCAAAGCCAGGCTCTGAACCCAAGTAGCCTAGCAGCAGAATCCAGCCCCAAACTCTGTCCCAGCACTGCAGGCACACAAGTAGGCTCAATGTCTGTGAGTGCCCCCATCTCAGGGTCTGCCTCCGCGACTCTGAGCCTCCTCGGCTGCACCACTTTTTTCAGAGCCTCAAGCTCAGAGGAGCCCCAGTTGGAAGACACAGGCAGCTGGGACCAGATCGGATTAAGGGATTATTGTTTCGTCAGAAACGCACGTGCATCCCCCTCCTCGTCCCAGACTCCGGTCGCCCCTTCCCCCACTCCCCCTTGACCAGAGTATGAAGCTGGAGCGGGGTTTTGGGTTTGAGATGGGATGGGTCTGGGGGCAGTGTAGAGGACACCTCCCATTCTCTTACCGTGTCTAGGAAGGTAGGGGAGAGGGGATTGGGACCTGAGGCTGGCCCGGGGATGGACTGAGCAGCTGTGGGGTTGGGGAGGGGGAGGTCGTTGGAGCCAAGAAGGGATCCCACTCACTTCTCTTCCACCAGTTGCTTCTGATACTCCTCGTACTCCTCCCGGCTCATGCCCTGAGCTTCGGCTGCCGACTTGTCCCCATCCCCCTTGTCCTCGCCGCCTCCCAGGCTCCCAGTGAGGTTCTTCAGCTGGCCGCCCACCATGGTCTTCACCATAAACGCCATGGTCTTCGCCGGCTGGGGCACTGGGCGCCTGCTACCACGCGCTAGGCACCGGGCACGTCCGCGCCTACTTCAGCACTAGGTCTTGCGGACAGCTCCCGCCGCGGGCCCGCGCCCCACGCTTGGCGCCGCCCGCCGCCCGCCCCCGCCCGGGCCCGCCCCCACCTCCCCAAACCCCTCCTCACGGGGGGCGGGGGGCAGCACGGGGCTGAGAAGGCTGGACCACGTGCCTGCTCCCCACTCCCGCCTCCCCCACGTGCCTCCTTCAACGCCGAGCTCCGCTGGGCACTGCTGACAGCGGATTAGGGCCTGCGGTGGTGGGGTCGCTCTCCCGGGAGAGGGGTTGAGCTGATACACTCCTGGAACCCTGTTCCCTAGCGTCTTCCAACTTTCTCCTCTCCTGGGCCACTAATAACTGGAATTTCAGCTGGGAGATCCAGGTAGCAGCAAGGGGTAAAAACCCAGCCTTGGGCGCCCCTCATTCTCCCCACCCACCCAACTCACTGAACCCAGCAGCTGCCCAAAGAGCTTGATGCTGGAAAAGGGAGGGAGACCTGAGGGTGCGAGCGGGAATCCCAGTTACGGTTCCGCGAGTTGGCCTCTCAGGGTTGCTCTGTCACGCGCCTCCCCTGCTGCCCCTGGAGCAGTTAGGAGTGGGGAGGGAGAGAGCTGCTCAGTGATGCTGGCTGAGCTGGAGGGACTCAGGACGGACACTGCTCTCTGTTCTGGGTGAATTTGAGGACAGAATTATATACAGTCATGGCTCTCTTTTCCTCCATAGTCGAGGGTTCAAAGCCCGTGGGGTATCTGGTCTTTTGGAGGTTAAGCCAGGCCTTGGCCTCCTTGCCTGCTTGGAGCGCGCTCCTAGCCAGCTACTCAGAAGGGGTGGAAGCCTTCACAGAGATTAGGGTGAGGCTGGAAAGAAGACCAGCATATCACAGCATGGGGAGAGGGAAATCACCTTTAATAAGATGGGAGTGTACTGAAAGCTCAGGTGTAGGTGGGAGCTGGGCACCCAGACGAAGAGGATGCTGATCAAGCACCCACCCCAGACACTGCCTGCTTCCCAGTGATGCAAAGCAGGCTCTGAGGTGGGTCAGGCAGGCATGCTGGCAGGGAGAGGCTGCCTCCTGAGAATCCCCGGGGCCCTGGGGGTGTATGGTGCAGGACCCAGAGGAAGGCTGCCTGTGGACAGACACTCCTGCAGGCTCTCGTTCAGCTCCTGCCTGCTGCGAGAGAAAAGGTTACAGGCTACTTGCATCTCTCGTTTATGGGCTTTTGAAAAACCAAGACTCTCGTGCTTGTCTTGCTACACTCACTGCACCACAGCCTCCCCTGTTCTTGGACTTCCTGTGGCTCTTTGGCCTGCTGCATATGGTCCACGCTTTCCCCCTGGGCATGTAAGGTCTGTCCTAGTGGCTCCAGGCTGATTGCCACCACTGCACTCCTGTGCATGTGCTGAAGCCTGTGAGCATTTCCACCTTGTGCTTTTTAAAGCTTAGCTCATTTTACTCCTCCTCCAGGACCATCCCAGCCCACACGGACTCTTCTTGTCTTGAAATTCCACCAACAAAGATTGTCAGTCTCATTGCTGAGGCCCTTAGCACACCCCACATCTCTAAATGGTGCACGTTCATTCAGCAAACACACACCAGGCAAAACTAGTGACCTCCTCTCACTTTTTCAGATCTCTGCCCAATTTCACAAAGGTCCTGGCCTTTGCTCCAACACTACTGAACTTGCCACTTTTTCTCTAAAATATTATGTTTTTCTCATATCTCCCTGCCTTTTCTCATGCTGTTCCCTCTGCCTCTATGCCTTTACCTATCTTGTCAGGGTGGAAAACTCCTAGTCACCTTAATGACCGTATCAAATGTCCCTTCCAGGTTGATTCCCTAACCAAGGGGGGTCAAGTGTGTTCTGCATTCTTGTAGCCCCTCAGCTTCCTGACATCATGGCATTGACTACACAGGGTCAGTTAGACCTGTGTGAGTGAGCTCCATGAGAGCAGGACCCAGATGGGGCTGGGGGATGAGCAGGTGGTCAGTGGTGCTTGGTGAGAGAATGGGCCCTATCCTGCACTGTGCTCTTTGTGATTTGGGGACTGGGCAGGTCCCCTCTGGGCTGAAGTGTCCCCTCTCCTAAATCCAATGGCTATAGCTGAGAACCAGGAGATGCCAGTGCTGTGGGACGTCCTACTCACGGGGTGGCCCACCTGAAGTGCACGTAGCTGAAGAAGCCTACAGTCTGAATGAGGAGGAAGAACAGGAAGATGCCAGGATGCAGGCACGAGGAGGCCCTTGGGGGCTGGCCAGGTGGGCGGGGGGCCTTGGCCGCTGCCTTCTGAAAGGGGAAAGTCTGAGGTCCTAGCTTAGTTTCTTACTCAAAAGGAGGGGGAGGACCTGGAATCTAGGCCATGTGCGTGCTCTGTTTCCTTTCCCTAGGCTTGGGGTGTCCTGGCTCTCATCCAGGGAACTTGGAGAGGGGGCAGTGTACAAAGCTGCCTCCCCCACCCCAGCTCCCATGGCTGCATTTGTGGGAACAGCTGGGAAGGCCTGGGATCATCAAGGGGCCCAGGGCTCAAGAGAAGAGAAAGAGAGAAGTAGAGAGCCACAGACAGGGTGAGCAGGGTGAGGGCGAGGGAACGAGGATGGGACAGGGCATGGGGAAGATCCGATTCCACCACTGGACTCAATGATCTTGGACACGGCCCACCCCATTTGGATTGAGGGGTGTCCAGGGCCCTGCTGGTGCTGAGTCTGTGGGACTCTCCAGAGAGCAGAGAGGGCAGAGAGAAGATGAGATGTGTGCTGGCATGTATGCATGCACATACAGACACTGACACAGGCACAGATGTTCTTGCCAGCAGTCCTGGGAGGGGAGGGCAAACGCAGGATGGCTCGGGGCTGCCAAAGTGCTGGAAGAAGGGTGGCTGAGCCCAGACATCAGGGTTGGGGACCCCATGCTCCCCACTACTTCCCCCTCACCGCCGGGCCCTGAAGCTCCTTCTGCAGGAGGCCCAGGATGTGGTCCAGCTCTAAGAAATGATGCTCAGTGCCCACAGGCAGGTAGGAGACCTGGGCTTCTGCGGCCATGCGGACAGCTGCATCCCTAATCGGGAGTGGAAACCAAGTAAGATGACTCATTACCTCTTTTGCTTCCACGCAAATGGCCTAATCATTTCCCATCTCCCCAGGGGCAGCACATGGGTGAGGAACAGGTACCATCCATGGGGCCCCTTCTTGGGGACTGGTCTTTTCTCCTTCAACCTTCTTCCTAGATCCTGAGACTTTAGCTCAGATAAAGATCTCCCTAGAGCTATCTGTGTCAACCCCAGGCTCCCCGGCTCTGCCTTCCATCCTGGATTTAACTCCTTTCCTTCTTCTCATCTAGGTGCCTCTCTACCCCCAACCCTAGCCATCTAGCTCTGTGTGTACAGGGGGGCTTTAGGCTTCAGGTTGGGACGCATGCCTCCTCCACGGCATCCCCAGAACTCCCCCAACCCCCAGGGCTCCAGAGATCCAGCCTAGAGTGGGATAACAGGAAGCTAATGCGGGCACAAAACCAAGTCAGGGACTGCCTCCTCCAGCTGGTCTGGTCTTGGCTGTGCTCCCTCTCCAAGAGCCCCCATCAAAATGCCCCTCATCCCGGGAGCTGCCACTGAAGGAACGCTCAGATTTCTTAACCCTCCTGAGGGTGGGAGTGTCTGAGGCGACCTTCATGATGGGCTTCTCCTGGAGAGAATTGCTTTTCAACAAGGACTTGCAAAACATTAAACTTGATTCAGTTAAATTCAAGTCAACTCAACAAACCTCACTCCACCCCCAGCCCTTCCAATTGACAGGCTGTGTGCTGGGCGCTCAGGAAATGATGGAAGGAATGAAGGGCTAATGGAGGAACTTCAGGCAGAGAAACAAGGTAGTGGAGGGGTCCCCACCGAGTCCCTTACCTCATCTCTTGCAGGGCCTGGAGCAGAGTCCTCTGTCCATGGAGCAGGGCATCGACCTTAGCAGAGTCCTGCAGGAGGGCCAGCCTCTTGTCTAGGGCCCAGGACACAGCCCCTCTCTTGTCAGAGCCCACCTTCCCAGGTTCACTGCAGCCTCTTCCTTCCAGAGGCCTTCCCAGATTGCCAGGCCTTCCTTATTTGGACACACTGTGTTTCTCTGACCTCATCCACAGGGGCTTCCCGCATTCCCCCTCCACTCACACCCGTCTCCCCAGGGGTGGTGGTTTCCTCCCAACAGTGGCCACTTCAGGGTTTTCTCAAAATACCTCTCCCTTCTTATTTATTTGAGATGGAGTCTTGCTCTGTCGCCAGGCTGGAGTGCAGTGGCACAATCTCAGCTCACTGCTACCTCCGCCTCCCAGGTTCAAGCGATTCTTTGGCCTCAGCCTCCCAAGTAACTGGGACTACAGACGCATGCCACCGTGCCCAGCTAATTTTTGTATAATTTTTGTATTTTTAGTAGAGACAGAGTTTCACCATGTTGGCCAGGATGGTCTCGATCTCTTGACCTCGTGATCCGCCCGCCTTGGCCTCCCAAAGTGCTAGGATTACAAGCGTGAGTCACCACGCCAGGCCAAAATACCTCTCCCTTCTAAAAGTGGTTCTGTCCCCTGAAGGAGGCAGAGGCCCAGCCCAGTCCTCTCTTTCCTGGTTCGCCCAGGGCACTATCCAAGCTGGGGCCAGTGCTGGTCAACACCCAGTGTTTGGGTCCCTGCCTTACTGAGTGGTGTCCAGGGCCTGAGGGTAGGATCAGAGAGGCCTGGCCCTGGAGTGTGAGTCCCCTCCCCTTTTCCCCACACTAGCAGCCCAGCCTAAGCTGCTCTGACACAAGATTAAAACCTCGAGCTGTCAGAGTCCAGCAAAGCCCGCAAGAGCTGCTGGCCTCCTCTGCCCAGTATCTAACACCTTGGCTGAGTTTAGCTCTCAGGACCCCAGGCTGGGCATGACCCGAGGCATGACTCCCTGGGGGAGGAGCCAGATGGCAATGGAGATGAAATGAGGCTTCTGGTGCAACTGAGCATTAAGCAAGCCATATGCAAATTGCATGTGAAGCTACATGCAAATTAGCACCTAGTCTATTTCTGTCATTCATCTACAGAGCCGAGTCCAAATATCTGGCATCTCCTCTCCCCAGCCCCAGCCTCAGCCCCAGCCCCGTGCGCATGTGGTTGTGCAGAGATGCCATCCCGCATTCTGCTGTACCCCATCCTGTGACCTGCAGCATTTCATCCCTGCCCTCCTTTCCCTCCAGGCCTTAGGGAGACTAGTTGCTTACTACAGTGCTTGCTCCTCTTTCAGGCCCGCAGGTGGAGCCTTGGATGCCTGTGGGGCTACTCACCCAGGCTCCATCAGGCCTGGCTTGGCCTGGGGGCCCCAGCTGCTGCTTCCATTGCCTCTCAGCCTGGGCCAGCTGCTCGGAGAGACCCCGCAGAGCCTGAAGGATCTGGCTGTGTCTGCCCAGCGTCTCCTCCAGGTCAAAGAGCCTTTCCCCTGGGGATTAGGGCAGAGCTGGGATGGGCAGCCAGCCATGGTGGCATAACACAGCCTATCTTATCTTTGGGGGGGCTTCTTGGAGGGGGTGCCAGAAGGTGTGGCTGCTACCTCTAAGACCCTCTCCTGGAAAATGAGTCTGAGTGGTAAGGTGGGGATAGGACAAAACAGTTGGGCCCAGGGCCTGCTTAGATATGGCCTCCTCAGGCCTCAGTTTCCCTTCTGATTAAAGGACTCCTGGTCATAAGGGTGGAGGATGCTGTGACACTCAGATGGGCGCCACCTGCCTGCTCTCTCAGTCCCTACCTTCTCCTTGAGCTTCAGAGCCTGACTTTGGAGTTACATCCTCCCTGGTGCCCAGGCCCAGCCTTGCCCGCAGCCCTTCCAGCTGCCTCGCCAGACGGAGCTGCTCCATCTCCAGGAAGGGCTGAGGGGGAACCTGGGGGAGGAAGACAGAAAGTCGGGCCCCAAACCCATGGGACATCCAGAGGCGAGGGGAGCCTTCCCACAGGCTTCCCCACGAGCCCAGTCTCCCTCCCTGGCCATCTGGCCCTGCAGTTTCCAGCCCTCTGAGTTCTGCCTTCACACAGATCCCCACCCTCTTCCCTCCCTGCTGTGGCCTCAGGCCTGTACGTGCTGATCCGAGGCTCCTTTAAGCTCATCTCCTCCAGGCAGCCTTCCTTGACCCCCTGGCTGGTTGGGACCCCTCCTCTGTGCTCCCACAGCCCCCTGTGCCTTTTGAGACCTGGCACTGATCACTCTGAACTGTAATGTCACAGCCTGAGCCAGCCAGCCTGTGAGGCCTTGCAGACCGGGCCTGGCCCACAGCACTGCCCAGCACAAGGTCTGGGCTGAGCAGAGCTCAGAGGCCAGGTGGAGGTAAGGGCTGGAATGGCAGGTCTGAGGGCACCATGACATGGGCAAGGGCAGGGTCCCTGGGCTGCCATTCCCAGGTAGGCCAGGGCTGGCATCACCTCTGGTCTGGGCTCACTCAGGCTGAAAGTCAGGAAGGACAGGACATCATGATCATCTGGAAGGGGACAGATGAAGGAGAAGTAAGACCCCTCCACCCAGCAGCCCCTTTGCTCAGCCTCCACCTTCACTGCCGTGATATCCCACTGAGGCAAGAGGGGTGACTTTGGGCCATCACCTGATGCTTGTCTTGCTCACTTCATAGGAAAGATGTGAGGGTTGACAGGTAGATGGGTGGGTGGTGAGGGCTGAACCTCACACTCAGTCAGAGGCAGGCCCCTGTGAGTGGCAGAACTGGATGATCCCAAAACATCCTGGGCTACAGCCATGGCAGCAAACCAAGTGACACCCTCAGGCCCCCAGAGCACAGTGGCTACTGGTAGTAGCAACTGCACGGTGGCCACCTCTCCAGCATAGCTCTGACCATATCACTCTCCTCCTCAGAAACCAGACTAAGGTCCTGGCATTCAAGGACTCCCAGGCTCTGGTTTCCCTCGGCTTTCCCACTGTGGGATCCTCTGTGGACTCTCCATGGCATCACATCTCTTTGCTCCATTTTCCTAAATGTCCCTCCTTGCTGTCTGTCTTCCACTCGTCCCACAGCTCCCAGCTAGGGGCACTTATGGGGACAGCACTGAAATCAAAGTTTCTCTTGTTTTATCCCATTTGAGACTTGCAAGTCTCAAGGCAGACGTGACTTCTCCCAAGGGTCGTGGAGGCCCAGGTCATGTGGTGAAGTGGCTGATGCCACCCCAGTGCGCTTTAGAAGGTGTGCTCAGGGTGATTCATTCATCACTGCCCTTCCGCTCTTACCTGACCAGTGGAATCCTCACCTGCCAGGATGCCGGTGGCTGCTGAGACGCCAAAGAAACCTCCAGGGACCAAAAGCAGGGGCCCCACATCCACACAGAACTCATCTGGATCACTGGGAGTGAGGCCGCTGTTCAAGGACACCTGAGGGACACAGAGGGAGTGAGCGGTAGGGGGTTGTCCCTACCTCTGACTCCCTGGCTCCCCTGGCCATAGGAGGGCAGGTGGCCCTAGGGCTTGGTATCAGAATGGCATGGAGGTGACCAGCACTCCTGGTCTCATGTGAGCCCTTACATGTATGTGCTCTGGGTGAGCGTTAGGATTCTGTGTAGGGATCCCCTGTGGATGTTGGCCCGTGTGTGCTAGGGGCCTCATGTGGTGTCACAGGCACTGGTATGTTGGGGCCATGGTCACGCACACACAGCAGCTCTGTAACTCAGAGCCCTGTCAGAAGCAGGAAGTGACTCACGCACAGCCTCTGCCCCCAGTAGGTGATCCGTGCTCTGAAGGGGTGTGGCCGGTTCTGGAAGTCCCAATGACAGGAGCCCAGCACTTGGCTGGCTCCATACCTGTGGGCAGTTTGTTCATTTGTTTGTTTTTGAGAAAGAGTCACACTCTGTTGCCCAGGCTGGGGTGCAGTGGTATAGTTGTGGCTCATTGCAACCTCTGCCTGCTGGGCTTAAGTGATCCTCCCACCTCAGCCTCCCAAGTAGCTGAGACTACAGGCATGCACCACCACACCTGGCTCATTTTTGTATTTTTAGTAGAGATGGGGTTTCACATTTTTGGTCAGGCTGGTCTCGAACTCCTGACCTCAAGTGATCCACCCATCTTGGCTCCCAAAGTGCTGGGATTGTAGAAGTGAGCCACCGCGCCTGGCCTTTGTGGGCAGTTGGAATCCAGCCAGGATATACAGGACTCAAGGCCTGGCCAGTGAGGGCAGTCCCAGAAGCCACTCTGCCCAGATCTGCTGTGCCACCTCCCTTTCCGCTGGGTGAGCTGGCATGGGATAGGTACCTTGTCTAGCTTGAGTCTCCCTTCTTGTAGCCTGCTCCCTTGGCAGAAGAGAGAGGGGCAGGGGAAGCAAGCCCTGCCTGGCAGAGTGTTGGGACTTGGATTTACAGAAGGGACCAGGGGCCTCCCTGTGGCCCGTCCTCAAGGGGACAAAGGCCTGGACTAACAATGCAGTTTCTGCCCTCCATCCCTCCAACCCACCTATCACCCTCGTCCTATCACCCGTCCCTCCCTCCTTCTTCTCTCTCTCTCTCTCTTTTTTTTTTTTTCTGAGATGGAGTCTTGCTCTGTTGCTCAGGCTGGAGTGCAGTGGCACAATCTCAGCTCACTGCAACCTTTGCCTCTTGGGTTCAAGTGGTTCTCCTGCCTCAGCCTCCCGAATAGCTGGGATTACAGGTGCTTGCCACCATACTCGGCTAAATTTTTTTTTTGTTTTTAGTAGAGACGGGGTTTCACCATGTTGGCCAGGCTGGTCTCAAACTCCTGACCTCAGGTGATTCGCCCGCCTCAGCCTCCCAAAGTGCTGGGATTATAGGCGTGAAACACTACGCCTGGCCCCTCCCTCCTTCTTCTCTTAAACTCCAAGTCCCCTGTGCCTCTGGCTTCCCCTTCCTCTCCCAGCTGACTCAGGACGGATGACCTGGACAGGTCCTGGCAGCTAAGGACAATGTGACCAGGCTGCCTCCCTGACGGGTCGGCATGGCAGGCTCTGGGGAGTCAGGAGAAGAGTGTTAAATGCTGAGTGTCTCTGGACACCTCAGGCTACTCACAACAGAGCGTCTGACAGTGCCGCCTTCCGCCAAGAGGGAGGCAGCACAGGGCAGGGGAGAAGCCAGCACCAGAGCAGCCACCTGGGTTTGTGCCCCGAGCTGTGTGACCTTGGGCAAGCCATCTCATCTCTCCAAACCCCAGTGTTGCCATCTCTAAAATGAGGACGGTAATTGGAACGACCTCATAACAATGTTATGAGGGTTAACTAAGACAGTAAATGAGAAGGACGTGGTGCGGGGCCTGGCATACAGTCAGCTCACTCCGTAAATGCAGGCAATTACTCTAATTGTTATGAGCCGAGAGAAGGTTGCTGAGAGACACTGACAAACCGGCCCAGCTACTGAGGAGGCATGGGGGCGGCTGGGGAGGGACAGAAGCCAAATCATCTGGGAAAGCGAAGGGACAGCTAAGCAGGGAAGAGCGGGGACCCTTCAGGAGTAAGTCTGGGCTCAAAGTTCAGCTCTGCCCACAGCACGTCCCTTCCCCTCTCTGGGGCTCAATGTCCTGACCTGTAAATGGGACGAATAACCCCCACTTATGGAGGGTATTGGAGATGGGATGAGATCATGGGAGTGAAGATACTCATCATAGGCCACAGCCTGTGTCATTTCACCTGGGGCTGTTGGGTTGCAGGAATCAAGCCCCATGGGTGTGGGCTTCGCCTGAGTCCAGCAAGGATGGCAGCTCTGGGAGGGTGGGCCCCCTGCTGGAGTAGGCTGGGGCAGGGGCTCGGATGGGGGGGATGGGCCCCTCCCAATGCAAAAATGGAGGTGAGGGGTCAGTCTAGACAGGCCCTTACCCAGGCTGCTCAGAGGGGATGTGCCCATCGCTGGCCAGCACACGGATGGCAGGACTGTTCTGCAGGGAGATGAGAAACAGCCTCAGCTGCGGCCACGGCGGGAGGGGGAGGGTGTGGGCGGGAGGGGGGCTGGCAGGCAGGAGACAACTACGCACCTGAGTATCCTCTGCCGAGGAGTCAAAGAAGATCCCGATGCCGTCCCATGAGGCCAGCCCCCCGAGGATAGAGCCTACATGGCCCCTGCCCTGGGTGTACCACACGGCCTGTAGGTCGCCAGCCCCTCAGCTCAGGGAACCGTGTGAGATACTGGGACCCCAGGGCTCATCACCTGCCTCCCTGACCCACCCTGCTCTGTCAGCTCTGGGAGAGGACACTCACCATGCCCTGGGCTCCCTGGCACCCCAATCCCGTCACCCTCATCTGCACCTCTACTTCCCAGGCAGAGAAGAGGACAGAGGCCCTGCTCCACACGGCGCCACTGCGGTTCCTCATGGATGGCGTCAGCCGCACTTCCTCCAGGCCCAGGATGGCGTCTGTGGACCAGGGCAGTTCAAGCCCCAGGCCCCGCTATACCCCAGTTCCCCCTTCACTCTCTCTCACCGGCCTGGGCTGGGCTCCCGGAAGAGGAAGAGACAACGCCAAGGCCTGCCATTAAATAACCAGCCAGCCAGGGAAGCAGGAGTCAGAGCCCAGCACAGCTGGAGGGGCCTTTGCCGGGGAGGGCAATGAATGCCAGCGCTGTCCGCGTCGTCAGTGAAGCCTCACTGCAGTGTGTGTTGTCTGTTTTTATAAGACCCCATCTAACAGATGAGGAAACTGAGGCTCAGAAAAGTTAAGGAACTAAGTGGATTGGATGGAATTCAGCTCCCTATGACTCCTAAGTGCAAGCTTTTTCCACCATGAGAGAGATTTGTGTCTAACTCTTCCCATTTCTCAGATGAGGAAACTGAGGCCTTGTGACAAAAAAGGAAGTGCCTGAGACCACAGAACACAGGAGAGCACTTTAGGAGAAGTAACTGCAAGGAGGCCCAGGACTCTAGGCTGTGGCCAAATGAGGCCGGAGCTTCCTGGTGGACAGGACCTAGGGGCATTCCAAGGTGAGGAAAGCAGGAAAGCAAAGTTGCGGAGGTGAGAACAGGCCTGCAGAATGGCGATGAAAGAGTGCAGGATGGAGTGTGTGTGTGAGAATTGTCACTGGCGGTGGTGGGGTGGGGAGGAAGGAGCCCTGCATGGTAGGATGGAGGAATGGGAGAGAAACTGAGGCAGTCTTGGCAAGAACTGGGGGCAGGGAACTCAGAGGCCCTACTCCAGCGCGCTCCCCACCCTCCAACCTGCCAGCCTGGAACCTGGCCCAGGGCCCAGACTCTGCCAGGACGTTCTGGAGGCTGCTAATCCCGCCTGTTTGCTCTATAAAGGCCAGGGATGGGGGTAGGGAGGCTCAGAGCTGCAAGGCCACAAGTCCCAGGGCCTCTGGAAGCTGTCACTGCCTCTGAAATCCTTGCAGGAGGCAAGGATTGCCCACTGTCTACTACGCTTTCAGCCTTACGAGGCCTGTGGGTGAGACCTTGCCCCAGACCATGGGCTCCTTCAGCCTGGCTCTACCCTGTGTCTCTGGGCTGGGAACAGAGGAGCATCAGGGTGAACCAATGAATGCATAGACAATGCACACATCACTGGGTGATCTTGGAGAAGGTGCCTCTGTTCCCTTACATGATCTGTGACACTCAGACTTGGCAAGGCCCAGAGCAGTGAGCGTTGTATAAGCTTGCCATCCTGGTCTTGAGGCAGGGGCCGGTATGGTGTTGTGAGAAACAGCCCACTTTTTTGTTACCTCCTGTGTCTTTATGAAAGAGGACTGAAGGCCGGGCGCGGTGGCTCACGTCTGTAATCCCAGCACTTTGGGAGGCCAAGGCGGGCGGATCATGAGGGCAGGAGATCGAGACCATCCTGGCTAACACGGTGAAACCCTGTCTCTACTAAAAATACAAAAAATTAGCCGGGCGTGGTGGCGGGCGCCTGTAGTGAGGCTGAGGCAGGAGAATGGCATGAACCTGGGAGGCGGAGCTTGCAGTGAGCCGAGATCGCGCCCCTGCACTCCAGCCTGGGCGACAGAGCGAGACTCCGTCTCAAAAAAAAAAAAAGAGGACTGGAAGAAACCCTACTGATAGGGCCTATCATCTTAAAGGGATGTATTGTGGGCTGGGCACAGTGGCTCACGCCTATAATCCCAGCACTTTGGGAGGCCGAGGCAGGCGGATCGTCTGAGGTCAGGAGTTCGAGACCAGCCTGGCCAACATGGTGAAACCCCATCTCTACTGAAAATACAAAAATTAGCTGCGTGTGGTGGCACGCACCTGTAATCCCAGCTACTCAGGAGGCTGAGGCAGGATAATCACTTGAATCCGGGAGGTGGAGGTTGCAGTGAGCAGAGATCACACCATTGCACTCCAGCCTGGGCAACAAGAGTGAAATTCCATCTCAAAAAATAAATAAATAAATAAAAAGGGATATTTTTTCGTGGCCTTAGTCAGGAATCATGCCATTTCTCAGAACTAACTTTTTTTTTTTTTTTTTTTTTGAGACAGAGTCTGGTTCTGTGGTGCCCAGGCTGGAGTGCAATGGCAGGATCTCGGGTTCAAGCAATTCTCCTGCCGCAGCCTGCCGAGGAGCTGGGACTACAGGTGCGTGTCACCACGCCCAGCTAATTTTTGTATTTTTAGTAGAGACGGAGTTTCACCATTTTGGCCAGGATGGTTTCAATCTCTTGACCTCTTGATCCACCTGCCTCGGCCTCCCAAAGTGCTGGGATTACAGGTGTGAGCCACTGTGCCTAGCCAAGAACTCACATCTTATAGACAGAAATCCACAGCTGATCTGCTTTCTATCTTTGCTTTGCCTGCTAAGAGGCTCAGAATTAAATTTATGGCCTAACTCTGAGGTGGACAGACCTCACAGCGTATGTGTTGGAAGCCATGCTCCTAGAGTATTTCATGCTCCACTCTAATCCTCATTGTCCTTGCTCACTCCTAATGTAAGCAAGCTCCCTTCTATCTTGTAGTTCCATCATCACAAATCCTTTTTGGAACAAGATCTGGTAGAAGACACACTCTTTGTAGGTCCAGGTTTGGAAGTCCCTGAACACAAACCTATGGGCTAAGATGCTCCCATGCCTGCTTCCACACACAACACACATACAGGGAAAGGCTGGTGCCCACTCGCCTGGAATGAGGATGCCTCCCTCCAGGTAGCCCCCAGTTCTCATGGCCAGCCACAGGCCTGCTGGGATGGAGCCAGGAGAGTGGAGGTTTGTGCTGGTCCACATTGCCTTCTATGTGTCTGGGACTTAGTGTGTGAGCATGTGTCTGTGTGTTCACAGGTCAGAGAGACAGAGGAAGGGCAGGGATCCAAGGAGAGGCAGAGGAGAAGAGAGAAGTCCTGGCGCAGGGAAGCAGAGAGGTAGAGGAGAAACAGCCTGGGCAGGGGTCGGGGGTGTTGAGGGGGTGGAGCAGGAGACAAGCCTGGAAAGGGTCCTGGGGTGCCTGGCACTGTCCCAGGCCCTACCCCACCCTGGACAGAGCATGGCTGTGACAGACCCACTCCCCACCAAGTCACAGCCCCTCCAGCACTTTGAGGGACCCTGGGCATGGCTGGTCCCCATCCCTGCTCCTCACCTCCATGATGGCTCCAGAAGGGTATTCCAGCCCCAGGCAATGCCAGCCTTGGGCCTTTGAAGCTGAGCTTGTATTCAAACCTGCGCAGAGGAGGACACGCCGTCTCAGGACTGTGGGGTTCCAGGAGCAGGAGGAGAAGGCAGAACAAGGGACCTGGACCATTGACCACCGGCATTGTGAAGGCGCCTGATGTCTGGGCCCTGGGGTAGATCATAGCTGAGAGGCCGGGGAGGGGATCCTGGGATAGGGCCAGGCAGGGAGGAGCTGGGGACTGGCCAGGAGCTGGGTTTTGGCACTGTCCTCTCTCTTCCTCTCCAGCATAGACATCCTGTTCCTTCCAGGCCTGCTGTCAGGCCCCGCCCCTCCCTCACCTCCAGTCTGACGTGAGCAGCGGGACCCCTCGACAACCCGAGCTCTGCCCCTGCTCCTGACTCAGGCCGTCTTTCTATCTCCCCTCACATCCAGCAGCTGGATGTGGTGGAGGGAGGGGGGCACCCAGGGTTGGGCTCCACCCTTCAGCAGCCCTGGCCTCCCCTCCCAGTTAGGGAGACAGGCCTCCACATCCTGCCTGTGTCCCCCAGCATGGGTGGCACATCTATCGGGACACCCATCCTTCTCTCCTCCCTGCCCCCTCTCTTCCTCGCCCTCATTCCCCCAGGCTCATCCTTCCAGGCAGCCTGGTTTCCTCAACAAATGCATTACATGAAAAAAAGAAAGGGAGTCTTTAGAGACAGCACAAAAACGCAACGTGCAGACCTTGTTTGGAGCCAAATTTTAACCCAACTGGGGAAACAAAAAAAAAAAGATATTGGGGAAATTTGAACAATGGATATTTTTGAACAATGGATATTTGACTATACTGAAGAATTGTTAACAAATTTTAGGGCCGGGCACCGTGGCTCATGTCTGTAATCCTAGCACTTTGGGAACCCAAGGTGGGTGGATCACCTGAGGTCAGGAGTTCAAGACCAGCCTGGCCAACATGGTGAAACGCCATCTCTACTAAAAAAAAAAAA